ATAAATTTTACCCTCTACTGATGTCGCACATAAAAAAGTGACTAAATAAAAAGTTAAGATTTAACAAAAGAAAAATCTCCCGGTTCTTAATTCATATTATCAAAATAACAAAATATTCAGCTCCTATAATAAATGTCTTAAACACCCTTTTATAAACTAATTACAAATCAATTCAAGATCCTAATTCCTGAGAGTGAAACTCTTAGGGAGAGTGGAGAGGATCAAAGCCGAAATTAAATTAGTGGGACCCATTAGGGCTTCCGACTCTGGTTTCAAATTCTACAAATAAGGAAAGTTCATAAAGATAAACACAAGTCCTAAAAAAAATGAAAATATCTAAAAATAAAGATAATTGATTATAATCAACCTATTATCTGATAATTTTAAATTCAAAATACGTCTCAAATCTTAAACTTCAAATCAAGAAAAAAATGTTGTTTTTAAATTTTTACCGAATAAATTAGAATCAAATTTGCTGCTTTGTTTGAATTGGGATTTGGTTGTAATATATGTTAAATTTAAAATTACTCTTTCTTTAAAATAGTAGGGACCATTTGTAATGGGTTAACTCTAAATGCATCATCACCCTAATAATAGATCATTCAATGTTCTCTCCCCTCCAAAATGCTGAGAATATCGCCCAAAGAATGTTTGTTGCATAAGGAGATTTTGTTATTGGATTTGCAATTTCTAGATTCTGATACTTTTTTCGGCTACAATATCTTGACATATTTATTTGAGAATTCACAAATTTCCTTTTAAGTTTCCCTCCCTTTTTCCACGTAAATAGTTGACAATAAATTCTAATAAAGGATTGTAATTGATTTTGTTATCTTTTATCCTTTACTGGTATGTGTAGGGTTTTTTTCCAGCCATACTAGTGCTTACCGATAATAAGTTTTTCATTTTTTGAGTATAAATATTTTTGAAAGAAGCTTTCTTCTAATAAAAAAGTTTTGTTCATTCTTAGATCTATTATTTCCTTTAAAACCTTTGTATTTTATTTTTCATCATATTCTTGTTTGGGATAGGTTATATTTACCTCTCTTTTTTCTTACCATAAATATTGTTATCATTTGATCAAAACCAAATCAATGACTCTCACTTGATCCTATTTTGTAACCGTTGATTTTATTTTGATTTAACGATAACAACATTGGTTGTAAAAGCGCTACTAGAAAATTTGACAAGGGAGACAAAATTCCGCGAGGGAAAAATTTCGTTGCAATTTGCGATGGATAACAAATTGCGATAAGGCCAAAATTCTGCCATGAATAATCCATCGTAGATTTCGTCGCAGTAATGACGCAAGTCCATCACAAATTGCAATGTAACGGAATTACGTCGCAACTTTGGGATAATTATGTAAAGGAAAGATGGCTAAACAATCACACAAAAGGGGGTGCATTGTGTGTAACTTCTTTTGCAAGAAACAATGTAAATCAATACCCTTTACAAGAAAAATCAACCCAAACAAAATTCAAATAGCATAATAGCAATTCTCAACCCTTAAACAGAATTAAAACAACATGTATAACATGCAATTCGAGTTATATACAGCGGAATCAAAAAGAGTTAAGGAAAAAAAAAAAAAACCCTGAATTTATCCTGGTTCACCATCTATCCATGTAAGAGTTACATCCAGACTGATGCCGATCGTTTCACTATCATCAAGCTTTCAACAGGTGCTTGAAAAACCACAATACAAAGGATTTTACAAGAATTTTGATCCAATCTTGATCAATCTCAACTTATATCCCTATAGGGTCACTCTAAATCTCCAAAATGAATTGCAACAGTCCAATTCGTCAAAACAGATATAGGGCAACCTCCCTATGTTCAGAATTACAAAACCAATTAGAAAAATATTAAAAAACAAATGAGATATTGAGTTTCTTCTCAAGGATATGCAAAATGAGCCTTACAGGGTTCAATTCTTTGATTCTCACATTCTGGTGTTTCTTAATGTTAATTCTTTGTTCAGAACCCCTAAAGAATGTTTATATAGGTGCCCAATTGAGTTACCGGTTGTTTATAGTCGTTGGACAACTAATTATTTAAATTACTTATGCTTTAAGTCACTTATAACATATAGTAATTAATTACTTTTCGTGGGGTAATCGATTACTTCTTCAAAGCCATGAGGTAATCGATTACTATTCTTCATGGTAATCGATTGCTTCTTTAAGCAGCTCAGGTAATCAATTACTCTCCAAAAGTATTTGATTACTTTATATTATAAACCCATTTTCCTGATGGTTTTTCGATCTAAATTAATCTTAGTGACTTCTAAATGATTTCTAGTGACATCTAGCATATGTATGATCATGTCTCACACTTATATAACAACTCTTCATGTGTGTGATCTTGTTTGCATGATTTAAGTTTATGTGTCACTAACGTATGAGTTTATGCTTACTATATGCAACCTTCAGGTTAAAGCCCAATAAACTCAATCTCAAACTTCCTTAGACTCTAAAACAACATTACAAACAGTAAACACGAGTCTTCATACTTTGAGTCTTGTAGTTGCCTTCTTTAAGATTTAATCCTTTGACTTCTAGTTTGACCTTGCTAATTTGAATAGTCCTTCCATATATGCACTATGCTTTGGTCTTCTTGCATCAATTTTGACTTGTTGTCATGCCTTTCATATTTTACTTTCCATGTTAAGCTCATTAGTGCTTTGTAGGTGCTTTGTTATCATCATAACATCATTTGCATCTTCATTACTTATGGTTCAACAATCTCTCTCTTTTTGATGATGACAAACATTTCATTGAGAAATAGGGTTAGTAGCATAAGAAATCAACATTAAATTCCCCCTAACTATATGATCCCTCTTACTAAATTACTTGGAGATAAAAAGTGAACAATTTCCATAAAAAGTCAACATTTTCTCCCCGTTTTAGAAAACAATAAAGGAAACATAAAGTAATCTAAATTTCTCAATCTCAACATATTTTTCCATTTTTTAACAACATCAAAAAGTGCTTAAATATGAATGACATAAAGGATCAAAAGGTCAACTTAAAGTCAAACTAAGTTCATATTTTCCAAAATTTTGCATCAAAGTAATGAAATACACCTTAAAATGACTCAAAAATAGTAATAAAAACTAATTTGACAGTATTTACTGAAATGGCATTCAATAAAAAAATGACTAATATTGGTGCTATGACATTAAAGTAGTACTAATAATAATCAAAATATTTTCATATGGTATCAAATCATCAAATTAAGGTATTAAAGCATTAAAGCAATAATCTATATCCATTGAACAAATGCTAAACATCAAACCATAAGCATCAAGTTAGATGGTTAAAAATTCCAAGTTCCAATTTCAACTTCTCAAATTGATCTTTAGGCAAAGGCTTAGTGAAAATATGCGCTAATTGAGCATGTGATTCCACAAATTTGATATTGAGATCTCCTTTAAGAACATGATTTCTAATGAAATGATGTCTAATATCTATGTGCTTTGTCCTTGAATGCATGACAGGATTCCTTGTTAAATTGATTGCACTAGTGTTATCACATTTAATTGGTATATGAGTGAGGGACAAGTCATAGTCTTAAAGTTGTTGCTTCATCCACAAGTCTTGCAACACAACTACCGACGACTACATATTCCGCTTTGGCGGTTGATAAAGCAACACTTGTTTTTTGCTATGCCAAGAGACTTAAAATTGATCTTATGTTCTGCTTACCGGTGGCTACATATTCCGCTTCGGCGGTATACATAACCTCCCCCAAAGTAATAAATATTCCTGATATCCCTTATTGTAATTTTAATTAAAATCAAACTTATGAAAGTTATTTTTACCAAACAACTTATTTTTAGTTTGATCTTTAAAATAAATTTTAAATTAAAAATTTTATATGATCACCAAACAATTTTTGTATTTTAAACCTATTTTTTTAGCTTTAAATTAAAAGTGACTTTTAGTTTAAAAAAAAGTTGCACAAAACATGCTCCGAAAATATTCGTTAAATGTTAAGCTAAAGCTTATATTTCCATTGAGTTACTCCTTGCGGATATTATACATTGAGAGTTTTAAACATATTCTATATTTTGTTGGTATCTATTTTATTTTATTTTTACTATGACAAACTTAGCATTTTTATTAGATTGTCTGCCTATATATTTTATACATTTGGATTAAGCTTAAGTGAAGATTAAAGATACATTTTAAAATTTTTTGTTTTAGTTTATGAATATTCTTAAAGCACCAAAAACTTAATCATCAATGTAATTATATATAGGAGACCAAAATAAAAAATTTAATAGGTTCTTTTTAAAGTTATTTTAGCTTCTTTTAGGGGAGGAACTTAAATTTTTACTTTAATGTTCTGTTTTTTTTTTTTAATAAATAGAAAAAATTCCAGTTCAAAATAAATAAATAAATAAATCTCAACTAAAAGAGAGGATGTTATCAACTAATTATAGGGACAAAATTGAAAAATAAATAAAATAAAGATGTGACTGTGACACAAGATTTGAGTCCATAAGGTCATAAGGATTAGACAGGTCCACAAGACCGAAGGAGAAGAACAAGTTACAGGGTAGCACGAGGTGGCAGAAGCACCAATAAATCTTTGTATTGCACCAAAAATTCAGTACATTCCACTAATATGAATATTATATATCAGTTAAAGTTTTTTTTTTTCTGTCAAATTTTTTCTTTCTCATATGATATGTAATGCTTTCATTAATGAGATGCACTGAATCTTAGTGCAAGAGTAGCACAAAAAATTTATGCGAGAAACACAAAGCATCATAAACAAAACATACACATGCAAGATGCCTTGATGCGTATAGCATCCTCTTTCCAATAATGAATTATATGAATAGTGTGACTCATGTACCTCAATATATATTCTCCACAATGTCTAGCCATTTTCTATAATACACACACAGAGACACAACAAAGAAATAGAGTTTGGAATAGCTAGCAGGGTGTGAAACTGAAACAGTAATTTATAAAACCATTTGAGTGATGATGATGAAGCAAAAACAAGTGAAGAAAACAAGAACCTTGCCACTGCAAAATTCTCCACCACCACCATCCGTGGAATACCAATACCCATCACCTAATAGTGATCAATATTATTCCACAGCCACTACTTTTGTCACCAAAAAGTCACCTACTCAAGTGGAATTCCCTACCTCACCACAACTCATATTTGGTGAAGAAATCATTCACTGCAGTCACCCACAACACCCTTTGTTAATGATTGACATCAAAGACCTCTTTACTTGCACAGGATGCAAGGAATATGGTTCTGGCAAGAGGTTTGTTTGTCAACAATGTGATTTTCAGCTTCATGATTTCTGTGCCATGGCTCCTCCTGCCCTTAAGGCTCATCCTTTGCACTCCCAACACCCAATGTTGTTCCATTCCAAACCAGGTAATTAATTACTACCTTCTCCCTTCCTCTCTAGGTATATATTCACTTACTGTTACTCCATCCATGTACACTGACATCATTCTTTTTTTATATAGAATATAAATTTTACCAATTTGACAATTCTTTTTTTATTTTTTTTTTGGTAAATACCAATTTGACAATTCAATCATATGATATTATTGTAATAATTATGTAAATTAAATTTGAGATCAATTGCATATATTCATGAGTATATGATTAAATAGTTTTGTATTTATTTTAATAAACATATTATAGTTTTTATAATATAATATGGTTTAAAAACCATATTATATATAAAATAACTAAATTAACCCGATTCATATTTGAAATTTATGAAAGTTTATGAATTTAGTATATCTCATGAATTTTTTTAATCCAACGGCTATAAAAAAAGTTTTTGAAAATTTTAAGTATACCATTTTTAGAATAGGTGATATATATGTTTTTGTGCATGTGTAACACTAATGGGGGGTTTGGCTCTCCTTAAAATATTTCAAAATCCAATATTTTTCATATAATTTTTTTAAAAAAAATTCATTATACATGGCCTCACCTTAAACTGTGATTATTTTAATTGTCGATCGCTGATATTAATAAGGCTAAACCTCAGCTATTTAAAACAGTTGATTGATCAGTTGTAAGGATAAAAATATTTCTGTTATCAAAAAAAAAAAAAAAAATATTTCACTTGAAATTTGGAAAGTGGTAGAGCCTGAACTAACTTTTTGAGGAAACCATAATAAATATTCAATACATAAATTAAGTTTGTCGCACATATATTTTTTAATATATTTCTGCTTAAAGAAAAAGTAATAAATACCTAAAATTTAACTTGAATTACCACACAAATTTCACAAAGAAAATAATATAAAAAAACCAAACTTACCTTAAAGTTCTTAAAGTAATATAAAAAAAGACTATAGAATCTCACTACTGTAATAAATATTTTGCGTTTGTAGTAATTTTTTCTTAAAAAAATGAGATTACCCCAAGGGGTGGCGTTTATTTCAAAATTTTCCTATGCTTGGCAAACTGGATAAGCCAGGTTTGGTAGAGAGATTTTGAATTTTTCCCCAAGCACCACAGATGCATAGCATTTGAGAATTGCATGCAAAAATTACTGTTCAAAAAGACAATTTAGAGATGATATTTTAGTTGACCAGCTAAATGGGTAAAGTAGGGGACCAAGGATACAGACTAAAATATCCTCATCAAATTTTAAAAAGAGAGGGTATTTTAAAATATTTAATCAATTATCTCATTAATATTTTACCTTTAACCAAACATACACTCAGAAAATTTAACCCAATTTCTCTGGTAACATTTTAACATATCAAACAACTTTTTTCAAACTTTTCTACTAAAATCACTTTCCAATAATATTCCTAGTAATTCTATTTTCTTGGTGAAATTTTTTTTCTCCCGATCCAAACACTCCCGGTGAAAAGACTTCAGACTTAAATAATGTAAATTGTCAAATCAATTCATTATATACTATCTTTTTTAAATTTTTTTCTAGCTAGGATGGCGCCATTCATTTAGATAAAATTAATCCCTTTTGCGGGATAAGGATTTTATCATTGGCCCCAAAGTGCTTCGCCGAGGAATCGATCCACTTCAAAGTTACATTTGTTATTACGATTAATGAGAGGAGTTAACTATTACAAATATTTTTTTAGGAAGGGACTAACTATTAACACTAATAATATATTATTATTAAAAAATATTATTTTATACATATAATAATAAAAAAATAAATGATTATGTTGCCTATCTATTTAATCTTCATACTCTTATTACCTTTTTATCACCGTAGATTATATTCAAATCAACTGTATCAAATATAATGAAATTAACTATATTAATAATTATGTGAGATACCAAAATCATTAAATAATATAATAACATATAGTTTATTAGATATAAATATATAATATATAGTTTTTCATTAAGAGTACTACACCTAAATTAAATTCTATGTATATATTGACTTCAGGGAAAAGCGGGATGGCTAAATCGAAATGCGACGTTTGTGGGAAACCGACAAAAGGTTTTGCCTTCTTATGCATTGCATGTGCGTTTCAGATGCATCCATGCTGTGCTATGCTCAACACAGAAATTGAATATGCACCACATCCACACACACTCAGAGTCATGCCAACCACCCCCGTGACCACAACACCATCAAGTGGAGATTCTGGTGGCGTTGTTTGTGGTGAGTGCAAGAAGAGAAGGTCAGGGAAAGTGTACCGTTGCACTGTTTGTGATTACCATCTTCATGCAGTTTGTGCAAAGAGCAAGATTAATGGGCTCCAAGCTAATGGCATTAAGCCACCTCAAAAACCAAGCATGCTTGCTGCTGCTGCTAAAGTTGCTTCCCAAGTTGTTATTGAATTCATTGGAGGCATCGTTGAGGGTATTGGAGAAAGTGTTGGTGATGTTATTGTTCAAAACATTGTCAAAGGAAGTTCCTCTGCTACTACTGGACCTCGCTAAATAATAATGGCAATTAATTAATTATCTCTTTCTAATTAACATAATCTCAATTACATGAAAATTCTCTCAGCCATTAATTAAAATAATTATTTTCTGTTAAATGGATCAATGATTGAGATTTTTTTATATGACGTGATCATATTAGAAAGAAACATTAGAGGGTCGTTCTCATAAATAATTAATAATCATTCATAATGCATATACAGCTGCCTCTGCAACAACAACTCTTGTATGTGCTCAACTGCTGGTGATCTCTGCTCTATCTAGCTCCATTGAATGTACGCATATATATTAATTGTATATCATTAATTTGTGCAACTATTTATATCTTTGATTTTATTATGTATTTTGTTTTGGCTTGATGGAGGGAGGTAAAAATGGTTGTTAGGCTGTGCTTCATATTTAAGTTTTTCCTGGTTAAAGTGTTTGTTGTATATGTGTGCAAATTGTAAAATTTAATATATGTAATGCACGTATTTGTTAATATTGCTTCTTTCCGTATTAGTAATGAGTTTATTAACTCTCTAAGATCTACGGTGAGAATCTATGAAGCACCGATACTTCAAAAATCCTAACGTGTCGTATCTGACACTCTTCGACACTCCGACACTCCAACATGCATTATAGAAATTCAAAAAAAGGTTCAAAGGTTACGTTGCGTTGAGTTTTTATTTCTAACTATTAGATTTGTTGGATTACGATTACCATTTTATTGAGTTTAATATAAATATTTGGGATATCTTATGTTTCTTTGCAAAATTGATAAATATTATAAGTTTAGTTTCATTTTTTTGTTAAATTATTGAATATTAAATATAATATACACTACATAAATTAAAAATATTATTTAATATCAAAACGTGTCCTAACGTGTCAAAATCTAACATTTTTTAAAATTAACGTGTCAGAGTGTCGTGTCGTATCGTGTCACGTGTCCAATGTCCGTATCGGTGCTACATAGGTGAGAATTCATGTAAGCGGATATATCTAGTTGAGGTACATGTAATCAATTCGAACACGACATGAATAAATATGTTAAAATATCTTTTAATACAAACACAATTTATATATTATATATATGGGACGACACGACACAACATAAATAATTCAACTTGAAAATTGTATATTCTCGTCACTAACTTACATGGGTTGACATAATGTGACATAAACAACTTGTGTGTTGTATGAAAATGATGTAAATAATAGTTCTGGATGGTTTTCATAGCCTATATATTGGAGCCTATATATTGGGTCGCGCTGCAAGGACCCATCAATGCCTCCCTATAATGAGCACATTGACCTTACCATAGGAGATCCCTCACTCCCGTGCATAGCTCATCATTGCATATGCACGATGGTGAAGCAACCCTTCATTGCACTAGCGAGTAATTGGCTAATGGTTAGGCTCACACCTCCTCATTAAGGAATATTTCCCGTCTATATATATATATATATGGGTTTTCATTTTATCTTTTAACATAACACAACAAACTTTCCTACTCTCACAACATTTTGTGGGGCCCACACTTTTTAAAACAAAAAAATAAATAAAAAATTAAGGCACGCAAAACGAATCTCTATAACATTACACAATAACTTTTCCTACAACATAACTCTTATAAAACCCTATATATATATATATATATATATACCTTTTCTCCCATCAAAAAGGTATTTTATATTCTACATTTTTATGAACTATTACTTTGCCAGATTTTAGAGCCATCGTGGCCTATACATATTTCCTTTTTTTTTTTAGCTTCCTTCGAGACTGCACTCAAGATAACTCTTCAAGAACTTTGGTCTATACCATTGCCTGCTTAAGCACCCACACATTGAGATACTCAGCTCCTTGAGTGATATATCTCTGGTATTACATGAGTAGGTACTTATTTACTCAAAAAAAATGGGACTTAGATAGCAATAACCATAAAATGGTAGATAAAATGGGTAAAGTCAATTCCATTAATACTTTTTTCTTCTTGGACAATTTAACAAGAAAAAACAAAAAATAAACTAGGACACACATTCTTGGAGACCCACTCCCATAGCATCAGTGACCAAGAGACTCAAACATCCATCTGAAGGAGTAACGAACTCTTGCACGCCCCAATCCTGATCACTTGTTCCGTTCACAAGGGATACGAGTGATGACAGGGAAGTTGCAAACCCAAAAGGAATCCCCATAGTTCCGCAGACAGGGAATTTCCATACCCAAGCCTCTTGTAAAAGCTGAGGATCTAGTGGTCAGAACTATTCATTTAAGACCCCACCACAACTGGAGTATTGGTCTTGAGACTTGTAGAAGCCATCAACGTTGATCTTATTCCATCCGTCTGGAGGAAACACCCAATTGATATAGTGTTCTGTCCTAGGAGCATTTCTCCAACCTGTCAGTTGCAGCAGTTCATTTGAGGAATACACATGTCACAAAAATAGATATGGACTTACGAACAATGCTATAATCCGTAGATGATCAATTTTCAAACACAAATTGGTTCCTATCCTTCTATATATGCCATGCCAACACACAATACGAAAGACCAGCAGCGGCGAGTCTGTAAAAAATCAATTCAACTCAAAACAGCCCCTAGCCCGCAGGCTCGGCCCTACAGCCCCAATCTTTAGCCCCTTTTTTTTAGCCTACATATAAGAGGGTTATTTTTTACCCTAACCCCATTAACCCTCATTTCTTTTGGGTTAGGATGGGGTTAACCACCAGCCAGCTCACTCTTTTTTTTTTCTAAACCCTAAAACCCCAATTTCTCATTTCTCTCTCTTTCATGGTTTTCTTCTTCCGATTTCTTCGAAAGATCTCATCCATCAGGCCGAGCCACCACGAACCAACCTCCGCCACAACTCTTTCTTCGGGAAACACCATGGTGGTGAGTCCCTAATCTCCTTTTCTTATTTTCAGCAATTCATTCAATTCCATGCATAAAACCCTCTGTATTTTTTTTTGTTCTGTATTTTTCTTTTTCTCCTTTTTTAAGTTTAGACTGTTAGTATAGCGGCATATCTAGATTTTGCTCCTTGTTAGAATCCTTTTTTTTCATTTTTGTTTCTGTGATTTCCTGCATTGAGTTCAATTTTTAGTTTTATTTCATTCAAACTTGATGAAACTACCAAAAAATGGAAAACTTAACTTACATAGCTGTATTATGGTTCAATATATATGGCTATATAAATTGCTCACATAAGATGTCAGTTCTCATTGACAAGTTGCTCAAAGACTCGGTGCTATTTTTTTTTCTGTGTGATTATATTGTGAAGCATTCAGTTCCTAATTATCACCACCTATGGCTCTTTTCATGACCATGGTTTTTTCGAAATTTACTGAAGCCATCCCCAATGCAGTCAATGTTTTGTGCCACTCTCCGTTATTCCTTTTGCATATGTTGTCGCCCTTGTGTTGAAAGTTATTCCACCATCTAGAGGTGGCAAAGTGGGCGGCCCGCCCCGCCCCGCCAAAAAATGAGTCAGCCCGCCCCGCCCCGTTTGGCGGGTTGGGCGGGTTGGCCCGCCAGCCCGAGCCTATTTTTCACTGACCCACCTTGGCCCGCCTATGCCCGCCATCAACCCGCCAAAAAATGAGCCTGCCCCGTCCCGCCTCGCTTTTGAGATGGGTTGAAAAACTCAGCCCACCCCGCCCCATTTGACGAGTTGGGCGGGTTGGCCCGCCGAGCCGAGCCCGTTTTGCCGGCTCTACCACCATCATTCAATGTTATTGTCAAGAACAGAATTTTAACAGGGTCTATAAGCTTCTTGATGAAATGCAAGCTCAAGATTGCTCTGCAAATGTGGTCACTTTTACTACCATCATGTGTGCACTAGCAAAGGCTGGAAAATTTGAGGAAGCTTTGCAAGTTGTTGAGAGAATGAGGTCGAATGGATGTAGGCCTGATACACTTTTCTACAATTCATTCATTTATACATTAGGTAGAGCAGGCAGAATAGATAATGCTACCTATGTTTTCAAAGTGGAGATGCCTAAGGCTGGTGTTGCCCCAAATGCATCCACCTATAATTCAGTGATTTCTATGTATTGTCATTATGCACAAGAAAACAGAGCTTTTGACATACTGAAGGAGATGGAAGATTCAGGCCTCTGTAAGCCTCATGTTCAGACTTACCACCCATTGATCAAGTCATGCTTTAAAACTAGAAAAATAGATACTTGGTTGAATGATATATTAAATGGAATGGTTAATAAACATCATATTGGTCTTGATGTTTCAACCTATACTTTGCTAATTCACGGGCTTTGTAGAGCAGATAGATGCAAGTGGGTTTACTCTCTGTTTGAGGAGATGATTGATCAAGATATTGTGCCTAGATACAGAACTTGTCGTTTGCTATTGGAAGAAATCAAACAGAAAAATATGTATCAAGCTGCTGAGAAAATTAAAGATCTTATGAAGAAACTGGACAGTGTTGTTAAAATATAGTTGATTTTTGGCCCGCGGGCTGGCCCTAACCCGTGGGGTTATATGATTTTTTGGCCCATGCAGGCTCTATGATATGCGGGCTTTTTGGCCCCGTGGGCCTTTTGGCCCTGGCCCGTGCGGGCAAGGGCCTAACGGGCCGGGCTGGCCCATTTTGACAGCTCTAAACACATCCCCTCACGCAGGAGCCTTTTAGACTTGAGGTGTGAATATTGCACAGTCTCAATTTTTTTGGTTTTACCTTGTACTTATTTAATTCCACTTGAAAATGAGGTAGTGAGGATTAAACTTGTGACCATGTGATCACTAAAGCTCTAATATCATATAAAGAATCACTTCAACTCAAAACTTTAAGATTTTAGGTTGAATTGGTTCTTTACAGCGAATGTCTATTCTCCGCTCCCATGTTTGTAGGTGTCGACATTGTTGAAATGAGATAATATTTGTTGAACTGTACAATTGTTGAAATTTTTATCATTGATTACACAGTTATATAATCATAAGAGATTTGTATTAAATAGATTATTTTCCTTATTTGCAGTTGATTGACATAATCATAGGAGATTTGTATTAAATAGAAATAGTAATATGTTATTTCATTTCCTTATTTGTAGTTGATTGACAGCTAATTTGTAATGGACCTAGAGTCCCTATTTATGTATATAATTACCCATGTAGAGGAAGAATAAACATGTAGGAAAATATTCATTAGATGACACCATTGTTTTGACATTGTATCAGTTGTGTTCTGATCCAGGAACCTATTTTCATTAAAACTCCCACATCGTATTCTTTTTCTTTTACTCAATATCAATTTGCCTGACCCGAATTTCTTTTTCCTGTTACCCATTTTGAATTTCTCTTTTCCCATGAACAATCCCAAAACCTCCTCTAAATCTTTAGCCTTGCTGGCCCATAATTCTCGCACTGGACAACTTCCTCAGTTCGAAAAATCTCGCGCAGAGCATCTCTCTAGTTGTAAATTCTCCTTGGTTTGCTTTTATTGTGGTGATTCTGGTCATTCTAAACAAATGTGTTATGAGTTGATTGAGTATCCTGAATGGTGGAATTTCAATTAATTCCCCGGAAGAAAATACCTGCCAAAGCCATGACCATTGTCTCCGCTAGAGATGCTCCTGTCCCTGCTGCCAATTTTACTCAATCCGGTATTTTTGGTAAGTCTCTTGCTTTCTTTACATTGTCAAACAACAGTATTTGGATAATTGACAAAGGTGCTTCTGATCATATGATTAAAGATTCTTCCCAGTTGTTCAATCTCTGTAATTCTTTCGAATCCGTTATTTCCACTTCCAATGGAGGTACCTCAAAAATTACTGGTCAAGGATCCTTAACCCTTTCTGATAGCTTATTTCTAGACTCTGTGTTGGTTGTACCCTCTCTTGAATATAACTTACTCTCTGTCAGTGTAACACCCTAAAATTTCTAACAATTTTAACAACAATAAAATATTCCTATAATAGAGAAATTCTCAAACAAAACAACATTTAATTATTTATTAAGATCTTATAACTATTGCGGAAGCTAATCTAAAACTAATTTGGGGAATTGTTATCGCTGCACCTGTACAGGGACACGTGCAAGTCTAACTTTATTACATTAAAATAAAACCAAAAACTAAAGTTTAACTGAAAGAAACATGTCTTATATATTTATTGAAACTCATAAAAGTCTTTAAACTCTAGAGCTAGCTAGAAATATATGAGTTGTTATCCTCACTGCCCAGTGCCCACTGCTAGCCCCATCCTTTGGAACCTGTTTCACTGAAAGTCTGCTCTCCCGAAGGATCATTGCAGTCAAACAAACACAAACACAAAAGTCAGCAGAGCAGGTAATCTTAATCAAAAATAAATATATAACTCAATATAAAAGATGTAATCAAATAATAATTTGACTCAAATAATAATTTAATATTCATGAATTATCTTTATTAAATTATTTTAGTGGGAAGAGAACCATAGACCCGGGAAACCCTACCAGTCTACCATGTGACCCAAGAAACTCTGCCAGTCACAAATAATCAAATAGGTCATTATCAAAACATCTCTTCCTAGTATGTACACCTTTTCCCAAAGTTGCTACTAGTATCTCGGAAAACACTGCCAAACACTACTTTGGGAAGAACGGATAATATCTGTTCACATCGTATAAATATATTGGAGGCATAAAGCCCAAAGGTTGTGTTCATCACTTTAGGAGGTACCATCCCAAAGCTATCCTCTCACTAATTAATTAATTACAATCACACACAATCATCAAAATTCAATCATGTCACAATTATCATATTTGAAATTTTCTTCTTTCAATATGTCAGTTGCTCAAGGTCATCATAACTTTCCATACTATTCAAGAGTATTAAAATATTCAAAATAAAGTTCAACTCATATCCATTATCATAATCCAAATGTCTATCATCATAATTTATAGGGTATCAAAATCAATTTCCATAATTATTCAATAGGACTCATATCGCACATATATCGCACAAAATCAATTTTTCATCATTTTATCAAAGGTAAAATTTATATTATCATTTGTTATCTATCACCATCAAAGTATTAAGTTTATTCCCAAACATATTGCTCACATAATAAATTTTTCCATAGAAAGTAAAACCCAGCATAGTTGGTAGATAGCTGGGTTCCTTAAGCATGCTGATAGGGGTTCGATCCCTGACCGTGCGTATGGAAACGGCTTTGTTGGGAGAGGTTTACCCACTTAATGTGATCTCCCGCCTCGAAAGGATTAGTCTTCGGCTGTCGACTGGAGGATACCTTGGGAAACCAAAAAAAAAAACCAATAAAGTTCCCTAATAATACTCATTTAATTAATCCTATAAATTTCTAGGGTTAAACCCAACAAGTTCTCAAATAATATACTAAATTTATAAATAACCCTATTATTTTCTAGGGGTCAAAACCCAATAAAGTTCCCAAATAATATAAAAATTTAAAAATAATTAAAGATTAGGAACTAGGATAAATTTTTATAAAACAAAATTGTAGTGCTCTAAGTATTAGGATTACAAACAAAATTCATACAAAATATAACCTACAAATACCTAGGGATTAGGGTTACATATACCAAATTTCAAATATAAAGAAAATAACCTAAGGGCACAAACAACATAAGAGAACCTAGGGATTAAGATTACCTGGTCTCCGTTTCGCTAACTTCTAAAAGGAAAAATAATTTGGGGCAGAGAACTGGTTGATAACCAAAAGAATATAGAAATAAAATAAGCTTTTGAAGTAAGAAGAGATAGAATAATAGAGGAGAAAAGGAGTAGAAGAGAAATATTGAAGGTTAGCTAGGTCAGGGTAGGCTCTATTTATAGCTTAAGTTTAGGGCTCAGGCATAGGCTGGGCTTCGCACAATTATTTTTCTCTTCTTTTTAATTTCTTATTATTTCGACTATTGTCGACTCATTGTTATTAATTACAAAAAAAGTATTGAATACCAATATTATTAAAATTTTAACTTTAATTTTATTATTATATTATTAATATTATTTTATATAATCTGGGGTATTACAGTCAGCCAATTAACTTCAAAGCTTAACTGTTCAGTAACCTTTCTTCCCTCTCACTGTGTTTTTCAGGACATCCCCACTCGGACGACTCTTGGTTATGGTGTTAAATGTGGCCAGCTTTACTTCTTGGAGGTCCCTGATCCTAGCCATCCTTCTTTGGCTATTACATGTGCAACAACCGGTCCAGAACAGTCATGTGCTACCATTTGGCTTTGGCATCGAAAACTTGGTCACATTTCCTTTAGTTATCTGAAAAAGTTATTTCCTCAGTTTTTTTTCCATTTTAATAATGCTGATTTCAAATGCAACACTTGTGAATTGGCCAAGAGTCATAGAGTTCCTTATTTTCCTAGTATTAATAAAAGTTCTATTCCATTTCAAGTTGTTCATTCCGATGTTTGGGGCCTTGCAAAGGTGCCTTGCTTACTATTATGTGACTTTTATTGATGAATATACCCGGATGACTTGGTTGTCACTGTTAATACACAAAAGTGATGTTTTTGTTGCCTTCAAAAAATTTACAGCAAGGTCCAAACCCAACATCAGTCTAAGGTTCAAATTTCTACGATCTGATAATTGCATGGAATATTTAGATGACCGATTTCTTGATTTCTTGAGAACACAGGGGATCCGACACCAAACCTCTTGCCCTTATACACCCCAACAAAATGGCCTCGCTGAACGAAAAATAGACAACTACTAGAAGTGGTTTGTGCCTCTTTTTTTTGTATGAATTTTCCTAAAACCTTTTGGGGTGAAGCTGTTGTTTCTGCTGCCTACCTCATCAACCGTACTCCATCTAGCGCCCTTCACTTTAAAACTCCACAACAGACACTGGAATCTTATTTCTCCATTCCTTATATTCCCAACCTTGAGCCTCGTGTTTTTGGGTGCACTGTGTATATCTATATCCCCAAGGTATTACGAAACAAATTGGATCCTTGTGCTAAGAATGTGTATTTGTGGGTTCGTCTGATGTACGAAAAGGTTACAGGTGTTATGATTCCATTCTCCACAAAATGCATGTCACCATAGACGTGTCTTTTTGAGAATTGGAACCATATTATTCAGGGGGAGATTTTGTTACTTCTTCTCAGGGGGAGATACCTACTATTGGAGAAGAAATGTCCACCTTTTTTTGCTCAATAATTAAACTCAAACGGCTACTCCTCATTTTCACTGCCCTACAGCTCTTCAACACACTCCTGAACCGGATGCTACCCCTCCCATGAATGACTTTGCTATACGTCTAACACCTATAACTGAGGCATCATCCCTGGATGTTCATGAATCCATACATGAGGTAAACACTAATCATACTCCTATTTCTTCAAATGAACCTTTTATTACTATCATAGATGGTCCAATCTTACCTGTTAGAGTGTCACAAAGACCAAACAAAGGTGTACCAGAACAACTATATGAACCAGATCCAAACGCTAAGGTCAAATAC